CCTTTAATATCAGGTGATGCTGTTCTGACAGGGAAGCGCATCTGTGAAAATTAGCACATAACCCCCCATAATTCACAGCTATAAATAATCTAATTTTATATACGTGTGATAAGGATCAAGACAGGTGAGTGTGAAGAACATTTCAAACCTCAGGAAATGAGCTCCTTGTCAGTAAACTCAGTGTTTTCCTCCTGAGATTCGGCGTATTAAAACCCACATCCGTGCACCAGCGCAGGGTGGATTTTCATGCCTTTCCCAGCTACCGTTTGATTATACTTTCATTAAAGCGCACCTTTAAAAGCATGACATTTTTGAGGTTAAAAACATCTGTTAGTCCCTGGTCACCTTCCCACTGACAACACCTTCCAACTTCACTTGCTTTAGTTCAAATGCAGCTCTCAGCATGGGCGCGGCAACACAAACAGACTCCTGCTCGCAGAAGAAACAAGCATCAGAGGAAAATACCCTTTTGCTTCGAGGTCTTTTTTCCTCCCTTTGCTGTCTTCTGAGGAAATCTAAAGGAACCTCTGGGAGAACGGCGAGCGTGGGTGAAGGAACGACTGGTGCAGCAGAGTCTACCAGTGTTGAGGTTGTATGGACCTTAGTTGTAAAGCATGCAGATGAAGCAGCAAATGCCTATCAAATATTCATCAGGCCCGGGGAGGCAGTGCAGCTTGTAAAAGAAGATGAAATAGGGGGCAGGAGCAGTCACTTCATACAGTGTCTCGTCGCTTTCGCTCTGATGCCCCTCGCCACTTTCTCCTTCCCAGCTTCACTACGCACGCACCTTGACGGGGCCTGAAGGCTGCACATTCATTTGAGCAAATGAAGAATGAATGAAATTATACTTCTGTGTGATTTACAAGTGCTTTCTTGTCTGCATTATCTCCTACCAGTTATTCATCTGCATGTGAATGCCTGTCATTTGCATTATTATGTGTGCCAATGTGAGGCAGCGTGATGATGAGCGTGTGAGTGCCGTGTAGCCGTAGATGCTGCAGGACCAGACAGCCCACAGCCCTCGTCGCTGGCTGCAGCCGACGGCATGGGGAGATCTCTGCGTCGTCACCTTCCACTGCCATGGCAACGGCCCGCGAGTCACCCCGGGCGAATTGCACTCTGCACCGCCCATTTACAGTCAGGGGCTGACTGCTGAATGTCAAGCTGAACGAGATGGACATGTGTATACACAAAGAGACGCACGGACATAAACAGTGCTGTCATTGTTCCTTATGATCAGCAGCGTGATGGACTCATGAAGTGTCCAAACAAAGAAAGTGTGCACGGAGAGGAACGCCCACTGTCTCATTTACTCACAGTGACTAACAGGCGTCACACACAGATGACTGATAGTGTCTCTGACTTCCATTGTTTACATACACCCACCATTATTTCTGTATTACTGTACATGTGTTTAACTGTGTCTA